TGTGAAGCATCTGAGAGTACGTGAGTGTACTGTGTGTATGTGGTGTGAGAGTGTGTGTGTGTGTGTGTCAGTGTGTGAGTACATGTGGTGTGTGGTGTGTGTGTGTGCATGTGAGTATATTGTGTATGTGGTGTGAGTGTGAGTATGTGTATATGAAGAAAGAGGATGGAGATAGACTTCTCATGGACAACCTCTTGGGCAAGGAAGACAATAATTGATTTTCTCACCTCGAGTGGGACCTGGAGGAAGAATCTAGAACTCGCATCCTTGGGAATGGATGCATGCCCACAGGGGGAAGAGAGAAAAGGTAGCCAGAGGAGGGAGCATCATAGTTAAAGAAAAAGTCAATATAATCAGGAGAAGGGAAAAAAAAAAAAAAAAAAGAGAGAGAGACAAGGAAGTAGAGGCTGTCAGCACCCAGTTTCACTGGCTTAGGCCACTGCTCTCTTCCCATGCACTCTGAGCACCTCTCTGATTGCTCTAAGCCTCTGGACATGCGAGGCTCATGACCTCACCCTCCGCTGCCTGGCATGACAGATACCAGCACTGATGTACTGGAGTCAGCTCATTCTGAACTGTGAGAGAGCTGGGAGTGGAACACAGCCATCATTAAATATTAAATTACATGAACTTGCAATTAAATAAATCATATTAACAAAAGTACTGAGTACTCAATGACCACATCTACTGTATCTGCACGGTGGAATTTCTGTAATGGTGTGCTGCACGTATCTCTTCCCACCCGTGTTCTGTGACGTCACGTTGGTAGGTTGAAGCTGGCCATGGTGGGAAGATTTACACCACGGAAATTGGCAAACACTGCAGATCGGGGCTGTTATCCCCAAGGATCCAGTGGCTAAATATTTAGCAGCATAGTTTCTTATAAAACACCCGTCGGGAGCCTGGACAGGAGCACTGGCATTCCCTGGGCTCTTCTGCAAACTCATCAAATCCTTCTGGTGACCCTAGCTCACAGAAGGGACAAACAGCTCGGTTGCAGGGGAGGGAAAGCAAGAGCAGGGCCTCACCTACCCAGGCTGAAGAGGTTGACAGCGCCATAGTCCAGGAAGTAGCATATGTGACGGGCATTCTTGGACATAGAGCTGAAGGTGTGTGCACAGCTGGACACGAGTGGGTACACGCAGCTGGTGCACATGTACACAAGCATGGGCCAGGAGTAGCTGTCATTCTTGATGTCTGTCACGTACAGTGCAGTCACAAACCTCCACGCAAAGAACCTGGAACACAAAGGGCCCACTCACCCTCTGTGATGGGAGCTCCTTTTAGTTCCTTGCCTGTCTTCTGTCTCCATTCCCCCTCCCCACCATGACCAATTCCTCTGTCTTCTCACTTTGGGGAAATACCGTGTGCTAGGGAGGTAGCGGGGAGGTCCTTTTTTAATTGGGAGGCAGGACGTTGGGAATGGGCAGGTGAAGTAAGAAGAGAGCCCTTATGTATATCTAGTCCAATCCCCTAGTGATTCTCCAGCCTCAGCTTGCATGCTTCCAGGGATGGGGGGCTCATTACCCCCCAAGGCAGCTCTGAGGGCTGGAACGTTCTCCTTCACTGGCTCAAATCTGTTCCCCTGGAATCTATCTCCATTTGATTGGCCTTAGTTCTCTCCACCAGGATGATAGAAAACAAGGCTATCAAGTATTTTAAGGCAGCCTTTCTAACTCCCTCCCACCTCCTTGAATTTCATATTAAATAAATCCAGTTCCTTCAGCCACTCCTCACAGGATGTAAGTTTGGCGTTGCCGCCATCCCTGTGGTTTGTCTTTGCTCCATGTAGTTTGTCTATGTCCCCCTTGTAGAAAGGCTCCTCAAGTAGAAGCAATGCCCCAGGTGGGGACTTAGAGCGCGATTTTCTCCCTCCTCCTCCACGCTGTTCCTCCATTAAGAGTACAGTCACTTTTCTGAGTAGCTAGTCTCACAGCTGACTCTCAGCAGAGCCTAGATCTCCATGCAGAGACACTTCACAATTCTTCATCAGATCTGCCTGACCTACAATCCACGCGTGAGGTCCCGCATGCAGAGCATCCCACTTCCACAAACCATTCCTAAATTGCTGGCTCCCCTTCCCACTAACTCCTCCAAGGGAGGAGACGCCACAGAGCTTTTTCATATACAGAAACTGAAAGAGTATTGCTGAATCCTTCCAGCTACGCTTGTGGTCTTTTTATTTTTGCCCTAGCAGAAGTAGAGCTTAAGCTATTTGCTGTCTCTCAAAACATATCCTTTAGTCATTTCCATTTTTCAGTGGTTCCATTTCCTTAGGGCTTCTTGTTCCAAACCTTCCCAAGTCCTTCCTGCTACTCTCTGTTGCTCAGTCAGGATCATCTCTGAGAGCCTGGTGCAGAGATGTGCCAGACAGTGCTGGGGGTGAGGGGAATGTGGCTCAACCAGCTTGGCTCAGCTGTAAAACAGCAAAAAAAAATCACCTTACAGGGATCCATGCATGAAAAGCAAGACCCACAGCAGGGATGGACAGGCTGGCACCCTTTGAAACAGCTCACATCTCAAAACAGCCTAAATCAACCATGATTCATCCAGAAAATGGAATGGAACATCCAGGCAGATGTTCCAAAATCCAGGAGACACGCAGATTGCAGCTGCTGACAGACTGAGATCTCCAAGGGAGGAAAATAAGGGGAGAACAGCAGGGAAAGAGGTAGATGCTGGGGATACTCATAGCGCAGATCCTCCTGGTTCCCCAGAAAAGCTCCAGGAGGTCACACAGGAGGCAGGTCCCCTGGCCACTCCAGGGAGGAGAACCAGGGGCCAGTGGCAGAGCCTGACTCTATTCTCTTCTGCAGGATTATAATTTATAAGCATGTATACTTTAAAAAATGACAAACAGCGTCTGGAACAGGGCTGTGCTGCACCCCCTGCCCAGTCGGCAAGCCCAGGACTGCCACGCTCCTTTACAGATCACTTTGGGGGAATACAATGTGCTGGGGACGTGGGGGGGTCCCTTTTATAATTAGGAGGCAGTATGTTGGGAATGGGCAAGTGAAGAAGAGAACCTTTATATATATCTAGCCCAATCCTTCAGTGATTCTTCAGCCTTTATGTATGTCTAGTCCAATCCCCTAGTGATTCTCAGCTTGCATGCTTCCGGGGATGGGGCTCATTACCTCCCAAGGCAGCTCTAAGGGCTGGAAAGTTCTCCTTCATTGGCTTAAACCTGTCCCCCTGGAGTCTATCTCCATTTGATTGTCCTTAGTTCTCCCCACCAGGATCATAGAAAACAAGCCTATAAAATATTTTTCTTTTTTATGAGACAGAGTCTTACTCTGTTGCCCAGGCTGGAATGCAGTGGCTCAATCTCGGCTGGTCACAAACTCTGCTTCCCGGGTTCAAGCGATTCTCCTGCCTCAGCCTCCAGAGTAGCTGGGACTACAGACATGTGCCACCATGCCTTGCTAATTTTTGTATTTTTAATAGAGACAGGGTTTCAGTATGTTGGTCAGGCTGATCTCGAACTCCTGACTTCGTGATCCGCCCACCTCAGCCTCCCAAAGAGCTGGGACTACAGGTGTGAGCCACCGCACCTGGCCAGCCTCTCAAATATTTTAAGGCAGTCTTTCTAACCCCCTCCCACCTCCTTGAACTTCACACCAGACTGAGCTTTCTCCACTTTCCACTGGGCTGGCTGCTGGAACCAAACAGCCTGCCCCTACGTTTTGGCCCCAGGTCTGTCTTCTGACTTCTACTCAGGCTGACTGTCCCTGTGTGGGGGGCATGGGCCCATCTCCACTCACTGCACACTCTGAATCTCTTCTCGACATGACTGGAGGGAGTCCAGAGACCAGCCTGTGCCACAGCTCCCCTGCATGACATAAGGAAGCCACCCCTTCTCTCTGCTGTGTCTACATCAACCAATGGTGGTCCAAGTGGGACAGTGGCTTGAATGGCCTCCTAGTTCTTCTACTTCGGATCCACTGTGATTTGGTGCTTTGACCCTGTGTCCATCCTCCACTCATTAAGCAAAGGGTGCAATATGTGACATTGGCTTTCAGCCCCCACCTTTCTCAGCAAGGCTCCCCTTCGCTTCCCTGGCAACTCCCATGTCGGTGTACTGGCTTCCCAGAGCTTCGCTCTTAGCTGGCTCCATCTACAGGTGCCTGACCAAGTGCCTCCCGGTTGCCGTGGTTCCCAGGACTAGGAACCCACACAGCTCTGTGCCAGGTGCCTCTCCCAATGTTTTCTTCCCAAACCCTCACGGCAACCCCTGGGAGGTGTGGACCATCACAACTGCTTTGCAGGTAGGAAAATGTGACGCTTAGAGAGGTTGACTTGCTCAAACTAGTGACATTTTAACCAGGGCTCCTGGAAGACTGGGAAAGTCTCCAGGACTGAAGGAGATGAAGGTAAATGCTATTAAATCCGGCACCAGAGCAGGGAAGGACTGAGGTGCTTTCGAGATTTCTCCTCAAATCCTACCACAATCCACTCCTTAAATTAGGTCATCGCAGTGGCACACCCAGTGTTTCTTCCCTCTGTCACACACTCTCTTCACCCTCGTGTACCCATGGGGGATCCCCAAATCCCGGCACAGAATCTCAGCCCTCACAACACTAGCTGTGTTTTAAGACACCTGGTCGGCCAGGCATGGTAGCTCACATCTGTAATCCCAGCATTTTTGGAGGCAGAGGCAGGCGGATCACCTGAGATCGGGAGTTTGAGACCAACCTGACACGGAGAAACCCCATCTCTACTAAAAATGCAAAATTAGCTGGTATGGTGGCGCATGCCTGTAATCCCAACTACTCGGGAGGCTGAGGCAGGAGAATCGCTTGCGGTGAGCTGAGATCGCGCCACTGTACTCCAGCCTGGGCAACAAGAGCAAACTCCATTCAAAAAAAAAAAAAAAAAAAGAACTCCTTGGTCTCCAGGACTCCTGGAGGAGACAGGCTGGTCGAAGGGGCAGGAAGGTACCAGAAAGGCAGCAAGTGAGTCCAAATGTTGAGAGTCTCATTGGTCATTTGGAAAAGACTGAGGATGCAGGCCATGGCAGAACTCTGTGGATGACGGTAGCCAAACAGGATGCCTTGCTCATGGAACACCTGCGGAGGCAAGGAAAAGGACACTGAGGTCAGACCAGAGGGTGGCACGAAGGTCTCCGGAGAAACATCTTTTCACAGGCTGTGCACCGTGTGCCTGGAATGCTTGACCACAAGCCCCTGACCCGCTAAGCTGTGCCCCTCACTCTCTCCTTCCCTCGCAGTGGCTTCTAAAATCCCAAGTCCTCCAAGAAGCCTCCAGCCAGCTGGAGGAGAGAATTCAAGGGCCAGGCTCCCTTTGGGAATCCAGCCTGCCTTTGCATCCCCTGCCATACTTACCCTTGGCATGAATCTTGCCTAATAATCCGTTTTTGCACCCTCTGCCTGGGGCCTACAGCCCAGTTTCTGGATGCCTTTTTGGTGAGCTGACATAGATGCTGTCTGAGCTGGCAACCCTGCAGGTCAGGGCTGGTGGGAAGAACTCTGCAGAAGATGCCCCCGGTGCCAGCGTATATTCACCAAGGTGCTTCATAAAGGGCTTTTGATGATGAGGACCATGATGCTGATGCCTGGGCTGCAGGAAGAGGAGGCGGCTGCCCACAGCAGGGCCGCTCAAGCCACCCCACCCCCATGCAGCCCACTTGGTAAGTCCCCCCTGAAAAACACCCCCACTGAGAAATCTGGACTGGTCAGGTGAAATACGGGCTATCAACCTGCCTGGGGTATTGTATTCCATCCACTAACTGTGGTGAGAAGATAATGAGGCCAGAGGACAACAGCCCAGGATACAGTCATAAGAGAAGAAAAGTGGAATTTAAACTGTATTCCTGCCACGATTACAAGAGCTTTGGAAATTTAAGTTTACACCGTGGGGCAGAGGCTGGGAGGAACATAGAAAAGTGAAGGATTTAATTTGTTCGGGTAGCAGGATTGCAGGAGACATTTTTTCCCCTTGGGTGTTGATTTAGACCAAGGGTTCTCAAGTCTGACACTATCGACACTTTGGGCCAGATAATTCTTTGTTGTGGGGCCGACCTGTACATCCTTTCCCAGGATCCATGGACTCTATCTACTAGACACCACTGGCTCACACTGTGGGCAGCTTACCCCCGCAAGTTGTGACAACCAGAAGTGTCTCCAGATATTGCCAGATGTCCCCTGGGGGCAAAAGTCACCTCCAGGTAAGGACCACTGATTTAGATAAATGACGACATAACCTTTGAAAGGTAAATTATAAGGCCAGGCGCAGTGGCTCACGCCTGCAATCCCAGCACTTTGGGAGGCCAAGGCAGGCTGGTCATGAGGTTAGGAGTTCGAGACCAGCCTGAAAAACATGGTGAAACCCTGTCTCTACTAAAAATACAAAATTAGCCCGGTGTGGTGGCATGAGCCTGTAATCTCAGTTACTTGGAAGGCTGAGACAGGAGAATTGCTCGAACCCAAGAGGCGGAGGTTGCAGTGAGCCAAGATGGCACCATTGTACTCCAGCCTGAGCAAAAAAGAGCAAAACTCTGTTTAAAAAAAAGAAAGAAAGGTAAATTATAAATGAGTAGGATAATGAAGCAAATAATAGTAATGATAATATTAGTAATCACAACATAAATCAGGTCACAATAAATTGTAAAGCCTCTTCTTTGAATTTCTAAGGCTGTGAGGGGAAGCGAGAAGAACTTCAATCTGGCCACCCATCTCTCATTTGGGGTGCCGATTTTTTAGCGTAAGAGAGGTTCTCTGTTTAAAAAAAAATGCAATATATAATACAGGAGTTTGTGCTCTCTCTCTCTCTCTTTTTTTTTTTTGAGACAGGATCTTGCTCTGAAGCCCAGGCTGGAGTGCAGCCGTGCAATCATGGCTTACTCAAACTCCTGGGCTCAAA